ACAAAGGGAAGGCTGAAGACCCCCCCTCGCGCGCGAACGCGCCCTGACAGTCTCGGTCTCATGTGAGACATCTGTCTCTCTCTCTCTCTCATGACACTTCTCGAAGCTACTTGCCTCCAACCATTCGCACCCACGCTTCTCCAAAAAGCCGCCAATCCGTGAGATGACCTGGCAAGCTGTTGCACATCCCCGTGCGCCTTCGCAGCAGTGCCCTTTAACCAGCAGGCCTCTGACGCAATGTATTCCGCTAGCTCCTAGCACGTGAAGCCGACGTCCAGGACGTGCGTAACCGGCATCACAAGAGTAGAAAACATAAGCCAATCTTATTGAGTCTGGCAACTTTACATGAATCTGATCTGTGCAGCAGAACCACATCCTCACCTAGTTTGAGCCTTGCAACCTTACATGAATCTGCGCAGCAAAACGTCCTCTGCAGTAGTGTGCACAATTGGGAGCAGAAGGCAGTCCTCCGAAGATCGTTGCTGTTGCAAACTGATGTAACATGCACGTCAGCTTGAATCTCGACACGGCAAAGGAAATTTACACGTGAGAACAAACAACTTATTCAGAGTAGCTAGGCCTTGCTGCCTGAACCCTGTCAGACCGTCCTGCCGAGGCAGCACCATTCTGACGCCACCCTGGCACTGTATCTCCAGCTTGTCTGAACTAGAGTCCTTGGAGAGGGACAGGGGGAGGACGAAGCATACCAAGCTGCAAGAACCTTCAGCGTGCCTGACAGAAGGAAAGTACGTCGCTCTTCGCCGGAAGAAGAGTCCGCTGGTCCATCTCCTTGCAAATGCCTCGGATGACCTTCCAGAACTTTCAGCTGCTGAAGGCAACTGATGCAGTGGATCGAGCCGGCACCATTTGCACCCACAGCCCACAGCATCATCGGCCTTTTTCAGATCGCCGAAGTCGACCACGTAGCCATCTGCCTGTCGTACTGAACATTAGCATTGCAAAGCCTGCTGAAGGCAGGACGCATGAAGTTCAATCACCAGCTAGCATGCAGCTGATGCCTGAGGCCGCTTGGAGCCAATTCGTGCACCTACTGTATAGTTGTGACCTGCGCACCATCACAAATTCGATGCCGATGCTGCGCATGGGGCTCGGGTCCCTGAGGCTTGTACCATGCAAAGGTTCTCGGAAACCCTCAAAGGCGACAAAATGCGCGGCGGAGAACTTCATGTCTTGCAAAGCCACTGCTACCTGTCACATCAACTCGACAGCAGGTGAATTGTAGTATCTAATGCAGTATCAAGTAAGCAGTTCTATGAACAAGCAAGTCTTGTATGACCAAGGCCACACCTGCCAGGACGTGTCACCGTGTGGTGGCGACCTCCACCAGGCCCGCAGCGCGGACATGCACGCTTGGGACGGCTTCACATGGCTTCAGGCAGGTCCGGAGGAGAAGTCTAGGGCCCGTGATGGGTGAAGAGTTGGGCGTCTCTGAGACTCTCAGCACATTTCTTGTGGCGTTGGCCTGGGAACGGCGTCATGGCCATCCATCGGCCAGGACCCGGCCCGGCACCTTAGGACAGCCCCAAATGCTTGCAGTCGAACACAGTTTCTGGGGTCCGAACAGTCAAGATCTGTCAAGTGTGCTAAGAGGGGAAAAAACAAAATTGCCACATGGGCCTCGATCCCAGTGCTGAGGAGTTGCAAAAAGAAACATGTCAACGAAACAGACGGCTTCTTTGCGTCTTTTCCTCTGCGAGGCACTTTGGCCTCCAGGACTCCAGGACTCTGCGGAGCTCTCTCAGGCCGAGTTCTCTTCCAGCACCCGCCTCCGCACAGCGGCAACCCCCCAATACACCAAGGGGTTTAAACAATGGCATAGCCTAGAGCAAGGCGATACAGCCGATGGGGGTCTTTTTGGGATCGGATTCGCCTATGTTTCCGTGCCTGACTGCGTCTAGCCCTAGCAAGTAGCATCGTCTCGCACACTTCAGGCTCCGTCCAGTCTCCTCTTGTCCTCGCGCGACAAAGATCCCTTCGGCAGTCCGTCCCACAGCACGGCGTTGGCCTTGACTTGCTTGTGTCATCCCGTGTGGATCTGCCTCATGTACCGAAGGTCAGGGTACGAGGCACTTCCGCCTTGCCGCACCTTCGTGAGCCCTGTCAGGAACTTCTCTCAAGCTCTGGTACCAGTGGCCACTCCAAAATACTGGGTGAGACCAACGTGGTTCCAAGCAGCAGCACGCTTTTGCAGAATAGTCCTGAATGGACATCCGCAACTCCCGCTCCTGCTGAACACCAACACGACAGATGGGCATCATGAACTCAGACTCTTTCGAAGGGCACTCCAAATCTTCTACACCATTCTGGCACAGCTCCATCAGCCGTAGCAGGAGGTCAGCAGGATCGAAGTTCTTAGTGTTGTGGATGGACAGGAACAGGACGGGCATACCATCTGGATACCATTTCGGATCGAAATACAGCTTTTTATCCAGACTCCGTCTGAGGAGAAACAGGTTTGGCTCCAAATCAAACTTGCACCAGGAGTTGTTCACCTTGTGCCGCCAGAGATTGACGTTCATCATATCTTCGTCTTCCCACATGGCATTGCTCATCTCGACATGCCTCTTGACCTTCGCTTTTTCGCCCTTTCGAACAAGATCCAGAACACTAATGCCAGTCTCTTGAACCTGCTCCAAATCAAAGACCAGGGTAGAAGTTTTTCTGCCCGTAGCAGCAAGCATCCGCTCATGCATGAGATCTCCGAACCATGGTATGGCAAAAGAAGTCCAAGTTGGATGTGCATGGCACCAGCGCATGCTCTGAGGGCCATCCCATCCTCTGAATGCATAGTGTGCGTAAGGGTTTCCTGGCGTATCATCTCTCGACATCCAATGCACGGGGAGAATTGGCCAAGGATAGAATTCTGTGATCTCTCGGCGGGTGCCCTCAAAGACCTGATCCATGCCTTTGAAGATGAGCTGATCTGTGTCCAGCTGAATCCCTACTATAACCCGAGATGCGAGTATTGATCGAACCTTATTGAAGTTGAAGGAAACTCCGCGCGAGATGGGTCTCATACGGTACGCGATGACATTTCGCATGGACTGCCAAGAGGAAGGGGGCACGAATTGATCCCCAAAGATAACAATGATCAATGGGCGAGTGGAGAACAAGTCAATTGATCGGATTAAGTTCGTGGCCTGCCACTCGTAGTTGCTGTCTTTCGGCCCTCCCACATAAGTCACATAAGCTTCTTCTATCCAGGGAGATGCCGAACTTGTCCAGCGAAGGAACTGTGATACGAAGTCACACTCCAGCCACACCTCCACCTCGGGCACCAGATGAGGATCTTCACAGATTTTGGCCATGCCGCGTTCCAACAAGTCTTCGGCATCACTGTGTGAGTGGCCCTTTCGAGGCTTTAAAGATCGCCTGTGATCGCATGACCAAATCAGTTCGTTCGGCTCTGCCTTCGAGCAGAGCTTGCTGCGGGGCACCAGGCTCGAGGGAGTTCTGGGCATCCTCGGCAAGCACCCCGCCCTGCAAGTTTGCCCAGGGACTGGACAGTTCTCCTCCCGAAATGGCTGTCCATTGGGACACTTCGGGACCGGTGCTCGACACTGACAGTACTTCAGCTTGCCAGGAGAGAAATCCTGCTCTGGTTTCAAGCCATACTGACTATGATGGCAGAGAATGGGAGACTTGAACTCCTTCTTTTCAACCCACTGGTTGAGATCAAAATCACCGTATCGAGTTAGGCCGTCACAATGGCAAATCTCACCCTCTTGAACACAGAACTTCCAGCCATCTGGCCGAAGCTTGTTGACTTGGCGTGTGATGGTCAGGGCATCCCGGCCCTCTGACAAGGTTGCACGCAAAGCCTTCAGAGCGTCCAACTCCTGGTGTGTTGCCACACTGCTAATCCACGCGACCAGATCCTGTCTTTCTGCCACCAAACGCGGCTGCACCAACTCGTCTCCACCTTGCTCAGCCTCATTGGGAGTTGCCGTCAAACGAGTTGAATCCTCTCCTTCTTTGGACTCGCTCTTGGACACATCTGCTGCGTAGCTCAGCGTGGTCGCCGTTTCCACAGGTGCAGGTGTGCTAACTCTTGGAATCTCCTGCTCTGCTGGAGATGGGTTCAGATGCTGTAGCGTGAACAGAATCACCACAACGATGGCCACTCCTTGCAGGTAAGTACACCAGCTGAGCTTCTTCGTGCGCATCCCACAAACCTACCTGCACCATTGCCGCGGAAGCTTCGACATGTTCGTGCTTGCATCTGTGTTTCAGGCAATCCATGATTCGTTTACACCTGAGCCAAAGCTGGCAGCCAGCATAGCCTCCTCAAGGTCATAAGCTACAATAGCTCAGCAAGCGCAAGGCAGCCATGTCACAAGGCGTGCTGCAAGTGCCGATCAGTGCCTATCTGCGTCGATCTGCGTCGTGCACCTTCACAGCACATCCTGGCAGCGTGTGGCTGTCTGAACCGAAGACCAGAGCACACGACTGGCAAATTCAAGCAGCATCTTCCGCACTACTACAATAACTTAAGGTGTCGCTTTTGCGTCAACCGCGCCACAGTCATGCGAACATCTCTAGCTCCACTGTGATTGAAACTAGATTTCGCGAAACTGAAGAAAGCTTGCGGACAACACCAATGATGCACAACATGCATGTCAGTCTGCAGTGAATTAGTAATCGAACTTGTCCCACGAGCTTCCACAGTAAACATTTCTGATCCATGCCAAAACTCACGCGTTCTCGCGGCCAATCAGTCGCCACAGTGGACCGCGGCTGGACAACCAGCGCACATTCGTTCCATCTGGGATGAGGCGACCCTGCGCCTTCCAGCTGTGGTACTCCTTCTTGGTGAAGCGAGTGAAGCCGAACTTGTTGGAGATGTGCACTTTCTGGCGACCGGCAAACTTGAACTTGGCACGACGCAAAGCTTCGACTGCAATGTTGATCTTCTCATCCTTGGTGCGGACGGAGATCAGGACCTGGCCGATATCCACTCTGGCAGCTGTGCCGTAAGGCTTGCCGAAAGCCCCGCGCATCCCACTTGACAAGCGATCCGCACCAGCACAGGACAAAGTCTTGTTGATGCGCAGGACATTGAAGGGGTGAGGTCGCATGCGGATGTGAAAGAAGTCTCTGCCCGCATTAGTGATCATGTACTTGTTCACTGCAATGCGCGCAGCCTCCAGCGCCTCACTGGTCAGCTGCTGATCTTCATCGCAAACCAAATGGGCCGTGCTAGGGTACTCATCACATGGCATCTTCTTCTTTCCGACATCGAAAATTCGGATCTTCGGATCAGGTACACCACGGCAATACCGGGTCTTCGGGTACGGCTTGTTCTTGTTGTATCGGTAGCACTTCGCCGGTCCTGGC